AATTCGTTTGGGCCGTAATAGGAGAACTTTTTGGGAGGAGGTGGGAGCGGATTTCTCTGAGGGATATCGGCCTTACATTAGAGGTTTTATTAAAAATTTGTAAATTAGAGTGGAGTGGGGCAGGGTAGAGTGATGGTACAATGTGTTATGTTATGGGCTGGTCAAGGGGTGGAAAACGGGGGTGCCTCCTGGTATGAGAGGGTGAATGTGAAATGAACTTGGGCGTATGGTTGTGTATTCATGGTTTTGTGACGAGTATTACTCTATATATGTGTTGACTTTGCAGTGGGACATTGTTTTCTAATGTATTCTATTCATATGCATGTTTAGATGCTTGTAGAGGTGGTCAGTGTGTTGGTTCCTTGATATTATATATTCTGTGTTTGCCATGAACATTTTGTTTTTTACCTATTCTCAATTACAATTTCACGTTATTGTATTTATTCGTATAAGGTGTCTCATACTTTATAATTTACAAAAGTGACAATATATGACTATATTACTTGGTGTGTTTGTTAATCATATAACATGCAATTGGACATTAGTCTGTTTTTTGGTTATCATAGGTTGTAGGAGGTTTTTCATGTATGGTGGTGAGGACGGGATATTTGTGTATATCAAGTTCATGTTTGTTGTGGTTGTTTTTGTTTTATTCTGTGTTTAAGATCCTGTTTGTCTTTATCTATCTACTTGTATTGTATTGTTCTAAATAAAAAAAAAAAAAAAAAATTACAGAGTGTACCACTAAACCCCTAGCAGGGCTAGGCATTTCGGGCAATTTTAAAAAAAATCTTAAGTTTAAAAAAATTAAAAAAAAAAAAAAATTTTTGGGGTAAGTTGGTTTTTAAAAGGTTTAAGTAAATAAATAATAAGTTTGTGAGTTTAGCAATGTGAATGCTTTTGTTTTTGGCACTATACTAGTTTCAGTAAGGGGGAAATCACAGGCCAACTTATGACTATTTTAAATTTCTTTTTTTTGAGTTTGAATTGATTTTTTCGGGTTTAGGGTCAAAGGGGGTGGGAGTGAAAGTGTTAACCACCAGTGGTTTTCGGGAAATTTTATTTGAAAAGGGTGTATCAGGAAGATAAATTTTTTTGGGGTGGTGTTTTGAAGGTAAATGAATGGGGTCTGCAGTTTTAAAATTTTTCGGGTTTAGGGTTTTTAAATTTTTAAGGGCCCTTTGACTTTAACATTGAATTTTTGTAAAGGTTTAGTGGAAACACGGGGAAATGTCATGAGATGTTTTTTGTCTGGTGTTGGGGCCTGGGGGTTTCTGCCCGAACTTCAAAAAAAGCTTTTTTAAGGGTTCAAGGTTAATACGGGAAATTTTAAAGGCCCTGTAAGGGAAATTTGACAGTAGTAAGTGGGGATGTACTGAACGGGGAATTTAAAGTTTTGATCTATGAAGAGGGGGGGGGGGGTGTTGCCAGGGGATGGGATTTTTGATTATTCTTACTGCAGCTTTTTGTTGGGTTTTTTATTGGCTTTGGGTGTGTTTTTGCATTTTAAACCCCCCAAACCAGATAGCATGGGGTGGGTATGGATATAAAAGGGTGAATGGTATAGGTGAGAAGGGAAAGTTTGTGGCACGTGGGATCGTATCTTGGAAGGACCCCCAACCTTTTTGGATATTTTTTTGGGTTATGTTTGGATATGGGTGCTAAAGTTCAGGTTGTTGTCGAGGATAAAGGGCCCAGGAATTTGCCCTTTATGGGCCCGGCAATTAGGTGTTGTCGATCTTAATGTTTTAAATTTGCACATCTCCTGCTCTGCTACCAAACAAAAATGTAGTAAAGGGTTTTTTCATGTTAAGCGTAAGGGTTTTTTGGCTGTCATCCAAGGGCGATATTTTGATCAGCTCCTCATTAACAAAAAGGGGTTGAGGGGGGCAAATTTGGGTGAAAATGAATAAATGTGTCGTCAGCAAAAAAAAAGGGGGGGTTTAAGGGGGTTGAGATACGTTTGGAAGATCATTGAGTATATGAGGAAGAGGGAGGGGGGCCAAGGACACCCTTCCCCTTTCGGAACTCCAGTATCAAAGGGGGGCCCGTGTTGTTGAAAGCTGTGTCTTTAATGGTTTACATACTGATAAAACCCATTAGTAAGGCAAGATTTTAAAAAAATTTTCAAGCGCATTTGGGCCCCTTTTTACCCTAATGGTTTAAGTTTTGGGTAGGATGCCGGGGGTCCCCATGTGTCAAAAGCTTTTTTTTTTAGGGCATAAAAAATTTTCCCAGTGGATATTCCTTTTTTTCCAATGCCTGTAAAGCAGATCTAGCATTTTATTTATTGCATCGTTAGTGCTTTTATTTTTTTCCCGAATTTCCCAAAATTTGGGAGGGGGGTTGGGGTATGTTTTTTGCCTTTTTAAATGAATAAGTCCCTGTACGAGTTTTTCAAAGATTTTTTGGATAGCAAGGTAGGTTTTTTATATTTGGGCCCATAGTTTTTAAAACTGTTTTGGGTCACCACCTTTTTTGGGATTTTGTAACCCTTTTCCGCTTGAGTAGTTTTTGGGAAGGTGCTGTTTCTAGTGACTTGTTAAAAAGTAATGAGATAGCAAAAAAGGGGAAAAGGGGCATGGGGGGGTACTCTTTTACAAAAATGGTGGGAATGAGACTTTTTCCCCCAGTTTATTTTTAAGTGACTTTATAAAATTGGGACTTCCCTGGGGCTCAAATTGGGGCAAGATTTGAAGGAAATTTTGGGGAAAATTTCCCCTCTAGGGGGGGCCCCGGCATGGGCATTGGTTTCGGGGATTTTATTGGGGAGATTAGAAACCCATGGGTTGGGAAAAAGAATTTTTTTTTTTTTAGGGTGTGTCAGTGGGGTGCAGTGGTGTTTCATTACAATAACAACAAAAAATGAATTTTTTGGTGGCAGTTTTTTCGGGAAAAAAAATCAAAAAGGGGTGATCTACAGAGCCCCCAAACAAAAGGCATTTAAACCCCGGGTTAACTTTTTTGAAACAAAATTGTATAAAGGGAATTTTAATATAAAAAAAATAGTTTTTAATGGGAAAAGTTTAAATTTAGCCTAATTTAAAACCCCGGGGCAAACCCTTTACAGGGGAAAATTTGGGGAGTTTATCGACTTTCTCGCAAAATAAACATTTCGTGTCAAAACCCACTAGAAAAAAACCTGTTGGGTTTTTACCAGAAAAAAATATTTCTCTAATAAATAAACTTGAACTTAATGAAAAAGTTTTGGGAAAAGCCATCCCTAAATTAAAAGTGTTAGAGAATTCTTTGAATTATCTCAAAAATATCTAAAACCTTAATAAATGAGGCAGTGAAAATTTTCACTTTCTTTTGAAAGGCGAAAAAATTGGATGGGTATGATGAAGTGTACAGATAAACCTAGGGTTTAAAAAAAGGAAATAAAATAACGTTTATAATATTTAAAACCCAAAACAGGACCGCAAAAATGGGTTTAAATTGGGACAAAATTTTAAAAATTTAAAAAAGGTTTTTAGGGAAAAATATTGGTTTGGGCCCGTAGAGTTGTATATGAGTGGAACAAATTCCCCGGTAATGTTATTAAGGAAAACGTTGGGGAGCTTTTAAAAGTAGGGTTGGGGTGGGGACAAAGAGTGATATGGGTGGATGTATTGGGGGGTCCTGACTAGCATTAGGCAAATAAGCAAAACTGTAGCGTTCCCTTTATTTTTGTATTTTTTTGTAAATAACTTTTGTTATTTGGCAGAAATGTAAATTTCATCTTTGTTTACATTGGGTTTTATAGTCGGGTGGTTGCCCGACCCGGCATTCCCGCCAAAAAAAAGATTATTTTTGTTAAGTCTCTCAAAAAAAAACATCTTTCCAAAAATATTTTTTGTTCCGTGATATACGAGTCTTGTGCATGTCGTAAAAAATGTCTGAGTTCTGCCAATAATAACTATTTTTTTCTTTCTACACTATTCACGAACACCAGCGGGTTTTTTTATGGTTTGCCTGTTGTAAATTTTTTGTAATTTTTAGAATTTTTAGTGTTTAAATAAGGGGTTTTAAAGGGGGTTGTTTACAGAGAAAAAACACTAACTTACCACCCTTATTTGGGTTTTGGGGTAAAATAACAAAAAAACCTTTTATAATAATTTAATTTGCAATTTAACAAGGGAAAGGGGAAAAATGGGGAGAAGTATACCTTTTGGTTTCTGCCCGGGGGTTTTTTTCCCTGGACATATTAACTTCTCTCAACCCCTGCTTTCCAAATCAAAACCCGGAAAAAAAAAAACTGAAGTGGGAGAAGTACATTAACGGCATTCACCAGTTAAAAGGGAGAAACAAACCTACCAAAAATTTTTTCAATTATTTTTTTTTCAAGGAAAAT